TATAATAAGTAAAGTTTTAAAGTTAGGCAGGAAACGAAAAGGTTCTCTTAAAAATCGATGATGGTAAAATAAAAGTAGTAGCTTAAAGGTTCGAAAACTACAAATCATCATTTTCTGATGGAATATTGTTATTAAGAGCTTGTTATAATAAAAAACCTTTGAATTCTAACTTATGAGGATTTTGTTATGGGGTTTATTTTTTGGAAAAAAGCTAAATCTCAATCTAACTAGCTGATGAATCATGCATATTTAAGTTTCTCTGGGAATTTTAATTTGAACGAACTAGTTAATAGGTTCAGTTTGATTATAACATATGATAATCTCCAGTGGCGTAGCTAGGTAACCAAGGGCCCTGGGGCAAGTTAAAAAATGGGGCCCCACTGCTATTTATGCTGATTAGGTTTTATCAATTAAAAATATGAAATATACAAATACTTTAAAAATGCTAAGCTACTTAAGCTTTTTTTTGTGCACTGCAGGACAGGTAATAAAAATATTAAACAGTAACAACATACCAGGTTGGGGAAAAAGTATTTTCGCATTATGGTATGTATGACCTTGTAATAAAATCTCTTTGGCTATACTATTTGTATCTGGCTGGTTTTGGTATCATTAAAAGTTTAAATTTTAAAAAAGATAATTCCAAATTCAAATTAGGAATTTGTGTGATTTTTACTTATTTTTCATTTATTTATTTATTATTGCCAAGATGAATGAATCTAATGAAGAAATTCGATACATTTTAAAATTTTACTACAAAAAAGGTAAAAACGGAACGCAAGTCGCGAAAAAAAATTGCGATGTTTATGGACCTAGTGCAGTGTCTGTGAGAGTAGCACAAATTTGGTTTAAGCGTTTTCAATCCGGAAATTTTGATGTCAAAGATGGACGTCGCTCTGGTCGCCGTATTACGGATAAAATGTATGCCATTTTTGAATAAGTGGAGCAAGATCGGCATATCAGTAGTTACGACGTAGCTGAAGAACTGGGGAATTGACCACAAAACAGTTTTGGCGCATTTGACATGTTCTTCTTTAAAAGAGGCTTGTGGAGAGTATTAAGCGGTAGGCAGCGGCTTGGCTCTGCCCCTGGCATTGCTGAAGTCCATGGGCGACGGTAACCACTCACCATCAGGTGGGCCGTATGATCGTCTGCCTACAAGGGCAATAAAAAATTTTTTTTTAAAAAAAACTGGGTACACAAAAAAGCTCGATATTTGGGTACCTCACGAGCTCACTGAAAGAAACCTAATGAACCGTGAACTCATTTGTGATTCTTTATTACGACGTAATTAAATCGAACCATTTTTGAAGAAGCTGATAACTGGTGATGAAAAGTGGATCACGTACGACAAGAACGTGCGAAAAAGGTCGCGTTCAAAGGCCAGTCAGGCTTCACAGACTGTGGCAAAACCCGGGTTAACTCGCAACAAGGTGATGCTGTGTGTGTGGTGAGATTGGAAGGGCATTATTCATTATGAGCTGTTACCACCAGGCAGGATCATCGATTCTGAACTCTACTGCAAACAACTGATGAGATTAAAGCAAGAAATTGAGAGAAAGCGGCCGGAATAAATCAACAGAAGGGGTGTGGTTTTTCATCATAATAACGCCTCACACATCTTTAGCCACTCAGCAAAAATTTAAAGAGTTTGGTTGAGAGGTATTAATGCATCCGCCGTATAGTTCTGACCTTGCACCTTCAGATTTCCATCTGTTTCGGTCTCTTCAGAATTCTTTAGGCAGTGTCAGGTTAACATCACGAGAGGACTGCAAAAACCAATTGTCGCGGTATTTTAATCAGAAGCCCCAAAATTTTTATAGCAATGGGATCATGTCCCTACCTACAAGTTGGCAAAAGTTATCGAACAAAATGGTACCTACATACTTTAGTTAAATGTAAATAAACTATATTTAAAAAAATTGTGAATTTTCTTAAAAAATGCGAAGAAACTTTTTCCCCAACCTATTACAATGCGATGTAGCCCAAATCTATAGATTTGACACGACTTATTGACTTAACGGACATCAATATAAGGGGTAAAATAAAATAAAATTGAACCACTATATTAACCAGTACAAAAAAGTTTTCTTGACATTAGCTTACTTACTCCTGATACCGCATAAATTTTTAACCGTTTTCGAAAAAAACATCTTAACTCGAATTCACAATAAAACGCACATCGATGAATAATAAAACGCACATATCACTATCCGTCAAATTGACAACACTGTTGGTTACAGAAAGAATTTAGGGGAATCCCCTAGGCATAACTTGAATTTCTCTCAACTGAGCTATCATGATTAAAGTGGGGTTGCAACTTGTTCGATCGAGATTTCTGGTAAGGATTCGAGGGCCCCCTGAGCTTGAGGGCCCCGGGGCACTGCCCCGCCTAGCCCCTGGGTAGCAACGCCACTTATAATCTCTATTTATGAAGATAAATTCTCAAACCTCATCGAGCAACCGTTTCCTATCGATTAGAAAATCGATTGTGGTGCGTCACTTTTGTGATTCACTCATCAACCAATCAACTCATTCAATTTATTCATTCTTTCATTCCGCAACGTTAAGTGCTCTAATCATGGAGTTAATAAGTACCTACAACTGGAGTGCTGTCTGATGCCGAGAAATCGGTCTCGAAAGAGAATACTTTTTGGTCGCGGTGTCCTTGTCTAATGTGGTGACCATATAAAATTTATTTATAGGATAAAATTATACACATGCATCAGTTTTGAATTTACCTTAAGTAATTCTGTGTAACCCTATGTAAATACAAAACACGTGCTTGCAACGTTTTATTTATGTAAATTCAATTCTAAACATTGCTTCGTCGTCATGGTGCCTTTTTTCGACGTTTTTTTTTGGAAGTTGCTGCGTTGTCGAAAATCTAGCACTGAGTTTTATTACAAACATCATTACCTCAGTGCTATTACTTAAACTTCCTCAAACTCATGTTTAACGTCCGAATACTCAACCGCGACTTAAATATTATGTTGAACTTAATTACGCAATTCCTACTTTAGTGTACTGGCTAAGTGGGCCGTGCAAATTAATATTTGACACACTGAGTGAGACACTGCAACACACATGGTCTGCGCGTATCGGGTGCTCTTTTCCTACATTCACATCTTCAATTGATTTAAAATTACTTGTATTTTTACTTCTGTGCTATTATCATGACACGTGTATATTAAGTCTACTAGTTACATTTTAGGAAATAAAACACAATGGGTAATAAAATGAAATGAACTGAAATTCATTTATTTGTTATATGTAAACAATTAAATAACTCTTAAATGACAAGTCAATACACATAACACAATACACATAGTACTTGATCTCTATTTACAAAATATTGGTTATATTATTATTATTAAGTTCAGTAAATTTTCTGTAATCTTATAATATAACATTTCCTCTATTTATTTTTAAGTAAATTCTTTTTTTTCAACGAAATACATAATTTATTTTAATCAATATCTAAGTGGACCATGAGTATCATTAAAATTTCGCAATTTAAATTTCAATTCAATTAAAAATCGCCATTTTTCTTTAATAAATCTAAAATCGACTTTATATTTACAATCACTATTTCACGACTTTTAAGTTTTTGTTTCAATACCTTAACATCTTGTCGTAATTTTGCTTTTCTCGGGGTATTTTTTATTTCTTGCGTTTGAGTACTTGATTCTTCTTGTTTGACCTTTTTAAAGGACATTTTCCAGAAATTCCAAAGTCATATTTACTAGAAGATCCTCCTCGTTCGCTTAACGTCAGGCAAATGATATACATGCTTGCGTGCGACGCTATTCAATACAATAAAAAAAGTTCAAGAAATACCACGTGATGGCTCTTATAATATGAAAAATACATTGCAAAATTATAGTTTTCACGATTGTTTTTTCAAATTTAGTATATGACATAGATTAAGTACAATTTACAAGACAAATGGTATTAAATATTATAATGAGAAAATATATCTCACATTTTAAAAATATATGCTCACACTAGTAAAAATTTATCAATGAATCTGACATATGGAAGGATATTCCACAAACTGGAGAGGATTCTCGCTTAAAACCACTTATATTAAAAGTGTTCACCATGATTACACGGAAACTTTCACGATTTTCGAAAAAAAAACAAGCCACAAGCTGTATCAGTGCCATTTTAACTTCGCACTACAAACGTAAATAGACGCCATTTTTCTTTTAATCCATTCATAGCTCTTTTTCGGTGATGCCAACAATTAATCTGGCTTCCCACCAAATTCAACATGAAAACCATCAGAAATCTACGTACCTACCATTAAATTTTCCATTAAACAGAGTTCTTATTAATATAGAACAATATTTTTTTTGTTAATGAGCTTTATTAATATATGATGTTCTATTAAAAATCAATATATATCATATAATCAATACTTCTTATATAATTTATTTTAATAAATTGTCATCATCAGAAACTAATTTCACCATAACTTTGTACGTTTATTTTGAACCAATTTAATTTTTGACGTTGATGGAAATTCTAAATTGTCGCAACATTTTCTAGTTAAGTTTAAGTCACATCGTTTAAATAATATGTATTTAGATATATTATTGTCATAAAATGTTTAAAATCCTGTAAAGTGGATTGATTTTAACCTTTTCGATAATTTTCAACAACGCCCAAGCTACTAAAAAATCCACTAACCACTAAAAGCCATTTTTGATAACTAAGACGGGGGTCCAAATTCCGAGATTTTATGGAAAATCCTCTAAGCTAGCAACACTGCTTTTTGTTTGTAAAATGTGCGAGAGGGACACCACCACTTAATAATCATTCTCTTTTCAGACCGTTTTTCCTTACATCTTTTGCTATTTAAAAATAAACTTTAAGCCATAGAGATAAAGTATATTTTTAGTTTTTATGTCAAACGAAGTAAGCACTCCAGTTAGAATAGTAACTCTATGGCTCTAATATATTAAGTGTATAATCTATGGTTAAGTGAATGGAACGCGGATTGTGAAAACATGGTTGCCTTTTGTGTTATTTGACGTAAATATTGTGCGAAAATAATATTTTCTGTTTACGAGTGTTTAGTGATTAATAAGTTTTATGATGTGTGTGTCCCTACTGTGATCTGTTCATATGAGGCTGCTATACAAAACTGGTCCGATGGAGTCGCTCAGAAAATGGTTTTACAAACCAAAGGTACGTCAGTGGTATTTTTCCTTTAAATTCTCGTCACGGTCATATACACGTTACAATATTCAATTCAGACAAGACTAAGGCATATTAATGAGTTTGCTTTGTAAATAGCATTCGAATAAATTCGAATCATTTAATGGTGTTGTCCTTTGTTGGGACACAGCGATCATCATTGTTGCACCTAAAAACACACTATATAATTTGAATTCGCGGATTATTTAAAGTTGTAATTGGTACAGTATTGATTATGCTTTCCGTGGAACTAATCAATAAAGGAATTTAATATAAATTTTCCTAAATGTTCATAGAAATGTGTTTGTTGTCAGTTGTCGCTTATTTAAAATAGATTACCCACGTATCTACCCTTATCACGTTGCATTCATTCGGTTTTGAGTCATAGCGATTCTACTTAATTCTAATTTAATACAACCAAGGTATATTTATGTTATCAGAGTAAACACTATAAAAAACATACAAGAATTTATATGACATAAAAAAAACACCCAAAAATATCAAATTTAAAAAGTATCACTCAATTAAGAAAAGGTAAAAAATAAAAACTAATTTTTTTTTTTAGTTCAAGTTATTTTCAGTTTAAATTTAGAACCTAAAAGTAGTTTTTACATTTTAACTGATGTTAGTAAACATTTAATGAAGCATAATGCTGAGATAAGTAAATTCATGAATAACTAGTTTAACTAGTTTCTTGATTTTGTCGTTTTCCATGTCAACTTAGAACATTGAAAATGGCGACCTGAATCTTCTATATTTAGATTTGTTGCAAATGTTAAATTATTTACATAAGTTTGTTGAATTCGAAATGAGAGATATCTTGTGAATTTACAGTTTAAGCATTAAATTATACTAGTAGTTCCAATACGACAATAACAGGAAAATAATCTTTTGAACTTTTGAAAGATAACTGATCTAGAGTTTTTAACTACTTTGAATAATAAAAAAAAAATGTTTGCTCTGCTTTTGGTGAGTTAAATAATTCTTAACTATTTGCTAATTTTAAATATTATACAGAGTTTTATTTTTGAAAAAAGAAACTGGTTTTTATTCGAAGTATTAGATGCTCATGTCAAATAATGTGACTATACTGGTGTTCAAACATAGTAGACTAGTAGCGATTTAAACAAAACTACTAAATGCATTGTTCGTAACATACACAATTGACTTCCACAATCTAGGAATGACATTATGTATGAAGGTCAAAAGAACTTAAAAAAATAACTTTTTATTTCTTATTCTAAGGAATTTTTGTTCTAAGAAAGTCTTTGTGTGCTTATGCCACAATTATGTATGTAAATTCTGCCACCTATTTTGAGCTATATGGTTGTAGTCTGTATTGTTTTTATCTTAAGAGAACTTCGACAAAATCCTTAACCAAATCAAGTGTGGATTTTTCCTTATATCATATTATTAAATATCTATGACCTGAATGACCTGAATGACTTCTTCTGCAATTCAAATGGTTTGCCCTTGTTTTGTATGTTAAATTTTTATTATACCACCATAGGCTAGTCTGGTCTATCTATGGTTTTTGCTATATTGGATAAAAAAATTATAACAATTGACATGTGTGAGACCACTATATGAAAATTTACAGATTTGAGAGTTGATTGATTTTGAGTGTTAACGAAATAAACAGCGTAGCTTAACAAAAAATGATAAATTTGTTATTGAGTGAAGAAAGGTTATAAAAAAATAATGAAGTAATTATAGAATGGGCAGCATTTTGTTCAATAATGAGAGATTTTCTATTAAATAGTTTTGTAAATAATCAAGTAAGATTGTTGTTAGTGATATTATATTAATAGTGAAAATCTCAAGTATATTTTATTTAGCTTTACTGATAGTAGGACCTCTTGTGAGTCCGCATGGGTAGGTACCACCACCCTGCCTATTTCTGCCGTGAAGCAGTAATGCGTTTCGGTTTGAAGGGTGGGGCAGCCGCTGTAACTATACTTGAGACCTTAGAACTTATATCTCAAGGTGGGTGGCGCATTTACGTTGTAGATGTCTATGAGCTCCAGTAACCACTTAAGACCAGGTGGGCTGAGAGCTCGTCCACCCTTGTAAGTAATAAAAAAAATGCAAATTATTCATGCTTTTAGTAAATTTATTGGCTTATTCATCAACCACTCAGCTCAATCATGTAACACTCTTTCATTTCCTATTCTTGCTGACTCTCTACTGGGTGTTTCCTTTAAATTTGACAATTCCTGTCAGAATAAGTTATTGTGGTAAAGTTGTTACTATAACTGGGATGACTCGGAACAAATTACCCATGGTCATCCGCCCCAACTTAGGATTCCCTGTGTTATGGTTACCAGAGACTTACATACATACTTATATACATTTAAATATATACATACACAAATATAGATAATACATTATTGATTAAAAAAAATCGTTACCATTTTGATTTGTATTCTATTTAAGTATATACATTCATTTCTTTCATACTAAGTGCATTAACAATTTTATTGTCAAAAGAAGTTCCAGTTGTAATTGATATGTGCAAAATGTATGGGTGGACGAGCTCACAGCCCACCTGGTGTTAAGTGGTTACTGGAGCTCATAGACATCTACAATGTAAATGCGCCACCCACCTTGAGATATAAGGTCTAAGGTCTCAGTATAGCTACAGCGACTATCCCACCCTTCAAACCGAAACGCATTACTGCTTCACGTCAGAAATAGGCGGGGTGGTGGTACCTACCCGTGCGGACTCACAAGAGGTCCTACCACCAGTGAGAAATTTGCTCACAATGTAACTCATTACACCCAACTCTAATGAAATTAGTAAGTTTGGAATAAGACTGAATTTTGCTACTGCCAAGATTTTGCTTTAGAAGGAAAAATGAAATATAAACATTGAATGTTGTTTATTTACCCAGTGCCATTGATATAATACACTTTTCAATGTAATTCCGTGTTTTGTTTGGATTACTCAAATTTTGCGTATATGTATTCCTTTTGTATCATTAGCATTTACATTCACGAAAGTAAACAAAATTAAAATAGGTTAAACAAGCAAGATACCACAAAATTAATTTAACTTTGAAATGTTTACTATAGATACCGGTTTAGAATAGAACTTCCGTAAAATTCTATTCAGTTTTATTTGTGTGAAAAATACTGATTATCATAGTTTGATACCGAGAGGGCTGGTGGTCGTGGCGCCGACGACCGCCAGTCCGGCGTCCCGAGGGGGAGGGTGATGGGAGAGATGTGCTCCGCACTAAACACTTCACTGTCCCCCCTTTGCCTTTTCATGGGTTCTGTCTCATGTGAGGTTTGGACGTTGGTTGTTGAGCGACAGGAGGTTTTAATCGGTTCGACTCCGACATGCCCCGTCCTCCGTCCCCAGTGAAGGGCGGAAGACCGGCGATTTCCTCCTGACCAAAAAAAAATAATATCTTAGTTTGATAATGGAGAGACTGATTTTTGTAGTTATTGATGCAAAGCCTGTAAACTAAGTTAATGCCGTTTGTCACTGTGGGACATTACAGAAATCTCATGTTTCAAGATGTCAGCGTATGTAGTTCAAAAGGAAAAAGAAAAACTTGCAAAACGTAGTTATTGAGTACGTCAATCAAATTTTGTGGCTTTTACCTTCTCCATAACGAGATTGTTATCAGCTTTCACAAGTATAATAATAATAAATAACAATATGGTACTAATTTTGTATACATATAATCTAAAGCTTATTATATGTTATTTTATCGTTATATAAACGAACATTCATCATTAAGTTCCAAAGAGATCAGTAAATATTATCAGATAGGAATACAATCTATATTATGTAGTTGATTAAAGTGTCACTAATCTGTGATATCGCTTCGTGACGTCACTCAGCTGTCCTTGTCTACGCTATCAGAGACTGTGACGTCGTCTCGCTCGCACACTTTCACCTTTTTCACAACTGCTTTCCCAATGGACCACGAAACTCGCGACGCTTTTGCCAATTGTATTTTTTCGCAAACATACCGACCGGGCCATTCCAAGATCAGGCATTACGGCTATCTATCTAAGAGATAACTGCGCTTATTTTGACATTGTTTGTGAATTCTCACACCCATTGTTCAGTTTTTGTTCGTACGATGATTCCTATTTAGCGTGTCTTGAAATTTGTGTATTGTGCTCTTAATTTTGCCACCGTTAACTTGCAATTGAGGCCAGGATTGAATATGTACGATTTTACTGCAATGTTCCGGAATATCAATTACAATGTTTATATAAAAAAAAAAAAAAAAAAATCAATCTTAATTGAATATGCAATTTCGAAAAGGGCACATCTCTGAAAATGTATAATGTTCAGGAAATGAAAAAAACTGATTATTTTCTAAATGCTGTAAACTTTAAAATATTAACTTTTGAGATATATTTTAGTCTTAATTTGCAATTGAAAATTACTGGAATTATTATAAAATGGGAGTAGGTAAGCCTCAAAACTTAATGTATATGAAAAAATGTGCGACTTGTGCCCTTTTCGAAATTGCATATTCAATTGTGTCTAAAATAAAAACGGTTTCTTTAAAACAAGAAAACAGATTCGTATTAAATTCTGGATTTTTCCATAGTAACGCAATTGTTATACAATCGTAATAAAGACTAGAGTACTTATGTATTTGGAACGTTTTTTTATAACAAATTGAATGAATTAAACATCAGAATGTATTGCAGAGCGTCTGTAGTCTAATTTAATATGCCCAGTATATTGTTTTTTTCCCTACCTATTTCTAATAACCTCGTGGCTAGGGTTATGTTAGCTTCACCGGACGTATTGAGCGATGAAACGATGCCAGAGCTTAAATTTTCTGATACTCATCTCCTTAAGGTAATCCTAACCTAATTTCTGAAGGTAGGTGGCGGTATTCATGTTGTGATGTTACTGATGGGTCCCCAATAAGCAATTAACACTAGGTCAATTGTGAGCGACAAGAAAAAAGAAGAAAATAAATAAATTATTTGTTGACCCAACAAAACGTTTG